CTTTTTAACCAATGAATGTGACCACACAATGAAACCTTTTTTAATGAAGTTTACGAGCATATTAGAACGCGGCACCGGACAAAAAGCGGTGAATGCGTGGATTCCAACCTAAACACCTCTGATTGGCCATTGAGTTGTTGAAATCAACAAACATGTCTTTGATTGGCTACTTTGTTCCCCTCTGCAAAAATGCATTGTAAAATCATTTGACGCTTTCCAAAACAGGAGGGCAGATACACTGGATTGTTTGCCAAATCTATTTCGTTATGCTATTATTAAGAAGAAAACAGATCATAGACCAGGAGTTATGGGCAGCTTTTCCATCTAAAAGCAATCAGTTAAACTATTTTACACTATGAGTTAGACTATTATACACGCGAAACTAAAGTCGGTCTGGAGGGGGGGCACAGGGATGTCCGTGGGGGGGCAAAGAGGCCTAATTCTTAAAGTGCCTCTGAATCAAATTAAGTTCAAAGTCTGGAGTTATTAAACTTTCACCACACATCTGGCAAATACAAACCCATTTGCTTGTCTTTGCAAGTGGTATATCAGTAAACATGTGACCTGGTGAAAGTTCTCTGTGCTGCTACTGTGGACTTGCATTAGCCTTTATTTAAAAGAAAAACAAGGCCCAATTAAATACCCACAATGCAATATTTCTTCAGAGGCCACCCACACTTCCAGGCAGAAAGATCTCAGAATAGCAAAGAAAAATAAACTCAATTGGCTCGATCAGGAAACTACAGCACTACGACACATGCTGACCCAGATAACAACACATAAAAACAAGCCTGAAATAGGCCTCTGTGAGTTTCTCTGTGTTTATTTGGAACATTCTTCTAAATTGGCAACTGACATGAAAATAAAAAGCCTAAAAAAGTTTGTTTTGGGGGGAGTCTTGGTTTGACTTTAACCCTTTGATGCATGTATAAATGTAATAATTTCCTTTTTATATAAGACTTATATTACCGTTCAAAGGTTTTGGGTTGGTATGCACTTATTTGATCAAAAATATAGTAAAAATAGCAATATTATGAAATATTATTACGATATAAAATAACTATTTTCTATTTGAATGTATTTTAAAATGTAATTTATTCCTGTGATGGTAAAGCTGAATTTTCAGCATCATTTCTCCAGTCTTCAGTGTCACATGATCCTTCAGAAATCATTCTAATATGCTGCTTTGCTGCTCAAGAAACATTTAGTATTACTATCAATGTTGAAAACAGTTGTGCTGCTTCATATTTTTGTAGATTCATTTTTTTAAGGATTATTTGATGAATAGAAAGTTCAAAAGAACAGCTTTTGTTTAAAATAGTAATTTTTTGTTATATTATAATTGTCAAAACTGTCACTTTTGACACTTTTCTGTCATAATTTAATACATCCTGATTCCTGATGTACTAGATGTATGTAACTCACAATGAATTCAAAGGTCATCAGATTCACCATCCATACCTTGGAGCTTGGAGATACTTCAGGATTTCATACATGGCCCCTTCCTCATCTGGATATACACAACATCCACAATGGCTGCTCGTTCATGCAGACTCGAGCTCTACAACATTAGGAAAATTGTGAGTGAGTGAGCAGTTTTAAGTTTTGAAATAAATAATAATAATAATAATAGTTTAAATAAAAAAAATTAAACTTAAAAAAAAAAAAATGCAGAAATAGTTGAATTGGACCAGATAGAGGAACCGTTGTAGACGCTAAAATACAGGTTTGATTTGTTTCTATATAACATATTTACGGTCACTATATAATCTCCACCCTTTCATTTGTGTAATTTGACCATTTTGATGACTTTACTATTATTCTAAAATGTGGGAAATCATAATAAAGAAAGTATAATAGATGAGAACAAACAAGACTGACTGGTTATATATAAATGTTCTGAAGCCAACTGTGATTTTTTCCCCCTGTGCTTTTCAAGTAAATCTTCATTCAGCAGATTGGGAAGGATGAGAACAGAATGACAGAATAAAAGGAAATGAATTCCTTTGGATGATTGAATTACATGAGCACTGCCAGTTTATAACAGACGGCCCTCCCTGTCTTTATCTCTGCATCCCTGGAGTGTCGACACTAGTCCAAATACAAGCTGACCCTTTGTTCTTGAGAGAGTTGAGAGAGACTGTCATCCACACCCATGGACACCCACCATGCCATGCTGGGTCTTCCAGGGACATCAGAGAGGAGACACTTTGATATATGTCTATTCTAGTGTCCATCCTGTCCTAATGATCTAAGCTGATCTTTTATCTGTGTCCGTCTGCACGGCGATGCACATGCATACTGCGACTGCAAGTACGCCAGCTGTCTAGTACAGACAATACGTGAGGATACATGGTTCCTCCGTCCAATCACAAAGCAATAATGTCAGTGTGCCTGACATCACATCCGCAGCCTATACGCAAGAAAAAATGCCATCAACATGCCTGGACGAAGCCCACACTCAAACGTGTGTCCCGCCCAAAGTGCCCCAATTACAGGAAATCACAGGAAGTTCATTAGCGTTATCGGTAAAGAGGGAGGAACCGAACCCCAGCACAGTCACGTACGGCAGAGGCCCTGGGGTGAAATGCCCTCAGAGGAGAAGACGTACGCTTTACCGGTTTAACATACACTGTTCAGCACGTACACAACAATGCAAGTGCAAACGTGAGCGCTTCCACATATGTCAATGCCAGTTTACTTGCAGCCAATCTGGCAACCAATCACAGTGCAGCAGGCTTCATTTGAATAATCTGGAAGTGAATAACATGGATGTGTTTGTTTACAATGAGGTCATTTCTGTGAAAAAGAATGTGTCTCAGTCTCTGAAGATGGCGATTTAAAATAAAGCAATAAGCCAGGTTGAGCACTACAGTGATAACTGTGGTAAAAACGCAGCCTTGAGTGGACAATTGCTTTATATCAAATCAACATCTAAACCTAACCAATCAGTTGCACGAAAAAACACATTTATTCTTTTCTTATTTTATTTTTTTACAATAAATACAAAAATTAGAAATGATTAATGTGATCAGCAGCCTTATTTCAGATCTTGGAAAGGGTTTAAACATTGTTTCTCATGCTTGTTCAATGAATCAAACAATTATTGCACACGCACCTGTGGAACAGTCCTAAAGAGAGTAACAATTTACAGGCAGTGGGCAACACAGGTCACAGTTCCAATAGCTGACGTTAAACAGGCCTTTCTACTGACTCTGAAAATAGCAGAAAAAAGATGCCCAGGGTTCCTGATCACCTGCGTGAACATGCCATAGCCCTGCTGCAGGATTGCAGATCAGACCATAGCAATAAACTGCAATGTCTGTAATGTAAGAGGACTAAAACAGTCCTACAGGGAAGCAGGAAGGACAGCGGAGTTACCTATCAGTTGCAAACCACATGTGTCCCCCAAAACATGTTCAAGAACTTGCAAATGGCTTGCTGGAAAAGTGGAGAAAATCTCACAGCGAAAACTGGCAAATCATGTGCATTCCATGAGGATAAGATGCCCTGTAGTAGTCAAAGCAGCTGGTGGATACACCTCATACTGACCCCCGCTCTGTTCAGGGACTAATGATTTCATTTCTGTGTTAAATGTCTATGAAACATGTACAAGGTAATACAAATATTTACACAGGTTAAGAAATTTGCTGGAAATAAAAGTAATTGAATGTGAGAGGACTTTTTTCACGCAGTTTATATATAAATGTGTGTGTGTGCATCACCGCCAAGCCACGTCTTCAAACAGCAGAAACAGAGAACAACACAAGTGCTGTTGAACTTGGCCTTTGGGGAAAGAGCATTTGTTTTCTCAGCTCATAAAAATGCTCTGAATCTCACACACATATTTCACAGCTCATGAGACTTGAGACCTCTCAGATATTTCCTTAAAGAAAAAATAAAAAATAAAATTAAATAAACACAAATGAGTTTGTTGAAATACTTAAAGGGATAGTTCACCCCAAAATGAAAATTCTGTCATTAATTACTCACCCTCATGTCGTTCCAAACCCGTAAGACCCTCTTTCATCCGTGGAACACAAAATAAGATGTTTTTGATGAAATCCCAGAGCTTTCTGACCCTGCATAGACAGCAATGCAATGGAAACGTTCAAGGCCCAGAAAGGGAGTAAGGACATTGTTCAAATTGTCCATGTGACATGGATCAACCGTAATGTTATAAAGCTACGAAAATACTTTTTTTGTGCAAAAAACTTTATTCAACAATTTCTTCTCTTCCATGTCAGTCTCTGAGGGTGAGTAATTAATGACAGAATTTTCATTTTTGGGTGAACTATCCCTTTAAGAGTATTGAGTTATACAGTAAACTGAATGTAGTTAGTAGTTCAGATTATTTGCTCCATATAGAGATTTATGACATTTGGTAAGAAACTAAAGTATCCTGCTCAATCCTTAGAAACACTGTTGAGATCTCTTCTAAAACTCTATAGAGGACACACAATTGTGACTGATCTTGTTTGCAATTTTTCTTTCCTACAGGGATAATGTAGCAATTTAAAGAATCGTTCACCCAAAAATTTCAATTTGCTGAAACTTTACTCACCTCCAGGCCATCCAAGATGTAGAGGAGTTTCTTCATCTGAACGGATTTGGATACATTTAGCATCACATCACTTGCTCGCCAATGGATCCTCTGCAGTGAATGGGTGCCGTCAGAATGAGAGTCCAAACAGCTGATAAAAACACCACAACTTCAAACTGTTGCTTCTGGCTAAAATATGAGTACTCTTTCCATAATTTTGCTTTCTCCAGTGGATTTTTGTGATGTATAAATTTTCATCACAAATTTGATGAAGAAACAAACTTAATTGAGTAAATCTTCAGCATTTTGTCATTTTTGGGTGAACTACAGCATTCTTTTAAGGAAAGTCAAGAAACCTCACACACAAATACACAGGGTGATTGTACTGTTTTTTTTTTATGCATAAAACTTCATATAAACATAAACAGCTCATATTCATGATTTTTTTGTTATATATTTATATGTAGGTATACTGAAATATTTCTTATGCTTAATGCAAAACCATGAGGAAATAGATGCTGGGTTACCCTGATTAGATAAATGAAAAATGATAGATAAATTATATTTCACTGTGGAAAAACATTATATTTTCAAGTAATATTTCACTGTCAAAAGCAGTCCTTCTCAAAAATACACCTCATCATTTTGTGATCACAAAATAATTAATTACATATTACTGTGCCTGAGCTTGCAACTTCCCTCAGTGACACAAAACTGATGTTGAATGTTGCATCCTCACTGTTATGTTGCAAAAACCCGAAACTGTCTTACACCTTAACGACTTATCATCTTCTTGAACAATTCGAACATAGCTTCAGGACAGCAGAGGACGTTGCTGCAATAAACTTGAATCAACACAAAGTGAATTAAACAATCACATGTTCCATCTATGACTGTTTATTTTGAGGTGCACCGAGATGTCAGGACAAGAGATTCACTCATTCCTCATCCCACGGGAATCTGATGTTACTTCCTTTCATCTCCTCTTGAATTACAGCTGTGAACTTGGCATCAAGCTCAGGGCTGAAGTGGTTCTTCCAGTCTCCAGCGATACCTTTAAATAAGCAGAGCGGTTTCATTCAAGAACAAATATCATAATGTCCAAGTTTTCAATTCAATTCAAATAGCAGCTCTCAGCTGATGCTTTAAAACCTGGGTACCTTTTCTGAGGAAGTGTGAATTCTTGGTGTCCATAAAATCTTCTGGCACCAGAGAGTAGTTTGACATTTTGTTTGTTTTCATATTTTTGAAAGTGCCATGATTGACCACACGATCCAGAGCCTCTGCGCTCAGCTCCCGACCAAGGAATTTTAAAATCCGACCCAGGACCTCACGAAGGTCCTACAATTGCAAGAACCTACATTTGATTACATTGGAAAGTTGCCGCCGCATGTTTCTTTCTGATATCTGAATGAGCAGCATCGTTTCACTTTACCTGAAGCATTTCTTCATAGGTGATGTACAGAATTCTGTCACCGAGCTCAGGGTTTCGCCAACTTTTCACATGGTCGGTCCACTTTCCGTACACATCTGTGCAAGCAATTGCAAACTGATCATTTCAATATTTATATTTACACTCTCCATCCACACATATCATGTTTGATGCATGTTTATTTTTAACTACAGGAATTTATCTGCTTTAATAGTGCTTTTAAAGCAGTTAAAAGGGTGTTTTGGGGCATGATGTAAAGTGGACATTAATACGGCAGCAACATCAAACATACAAAAAGTAGTTATTTAGCATTTTTACTTGCCACATGAATACTGAATACTTTTTAAAAAATGATTAAAATGTCTCACTTTTTCCTGACAGGAATTTGTTGGTGAATTCTTCAAATGTTCCTGGGTCTTCAAGGAACGTGGCCATTTTATGAAAGTGGTATGACGAGACTATAACATCTTTAGGATTCCGAGCGACATAGATTACCTGGAGACGAAAAACAACATAATACGATTAGACACTTTGTTTTGCTTTATTGAAAGAAGAGACTAGTCCGGACATGCATTTTGATATGAGAAAACACTGTAAGAAAATGCAAGGATATTACAATATTTACCAGTAATGAAGTACTGTATTGAGAATTCTACAGTGAAATTAATGCAGGCAATGTCATTTTGTGCCATAACACACACACACACAAACACAAACATGAAAAAGAAAGGACACCCTATTGAATTCCATGGTTTTATGGACCATGGAGGCGATGTCATTTTGTGCCATAACACACACACACACACACACACACACACACACACACAGTCATATGAAAAAGAAAAAACACCTTATTGAATTCCATGGTTTTATGTATCAGGACATAATAAAAAAATAAATCATCTGGTCCTTGGCAGGGCTTAAAATTTGGAAAATAAAACCTCAGATGAACCACAACACATGACATATCACACCGTGTCATTATTTATTTAGTAAAAATAAAGCCAATATGGAAAAGCCATGTGTGAAACACTAAGGAACCCCTATGATTCAATTGCTTGCAGGTCAACTTTTCACAGCAATAACTTGAAGTAATAATTTTCTGGATGACTATATCAGTCTCTCACATCATTCTGGAGGAATTTTGGCCCACTCTTCTTTACAACGTTCCTCTGGTTTATTGAGGTTTGTGGGCATTTGTTTCAGTCAGAATGAGGTCTGGACTTTGACTAGGCTATTGTAACACCTTGATTATTTTCTTTTTCATCCATTCTGTTGTCTGTTGTAGATTTGCTGGTGATCATGGTCCTGTTGCATGACCCAATTTTGATCAAGCTTTAGCTGTTGGACAGATGGCCTCACATTTGACTCAAGCATACTGTGGTATATATA